AGTCATAGTAGGAGAAGTGAGTGAGTAGAATTGGCAAAAAAGTTCGAGTATAACAGATTTATGGTGGTTTCGATCTTCTTATATGAGGCCTCCATTAAAGAACACCGCGATTCCCTTTAGCCAGCACTACCAATATTTCCAATATCTTCACTGCTGTGTAAGTATGAGACAATTACATAATTCCATTATAAATATAAAATAAATTATTCCATTTATCATAATGAAGCAATGATTGTTTATATGTACCTATGTGATGATTCGTTATTAAGAAGTAATAATTTTATGGCCATTAAAGTCCAATAATCATCCTATAAGAAAATTATTATTGCCAATACTGAAATTTAACTACCGGCAATTTTAATTTAGGACTCCTTTATAGTCATTATGGCAATCGAAGACTTCCACAATAGAATGTCTTTGTTTCGAATGCGTATTCAAAGACAAAGGCATAGAAATTATTAATGTAATAACAATAACATGTATGTACTTTAAACACAAAGATATTTTGTATGTACCGAGCGAGACCATTCTTGCTTAGTTTTGATCATTTGCGATGAAATCCGTAAAGTATTTCGATACTGTATATGTTTTTGTGTATTTCTATATACACTGATGTCACGCTTCGGCATATAAAACGATGTGTATGTGTGTAGATTTCAGGTTCAAGCGACCAATAGTGACAGGGTTCCTTCCTCTGGTGGGATGTTGGCATTTTGATTAGTGACGTGACGTGAATTTGCTTTTAAAAAAGATTTTTCTCTTCCTTTTAATATGCATCTTAACATTAAATAAAAAAATACAAACAAACTCTTCAAGTTTTAAAGATTGTCACTCAATAAAAATACGCATTTTTAAGGTAATATACGTAAGAAAATATATAATTACCCACTAAATAGTATGTGACTAGTTAAAATGTTAAAGGCGACAAGGCCGTCTATTGTAATGCATGTTTAGTCTGTAGTTTCTTACTCACAGACGCCTACCTTGTATATTGTATAATAATAATAAGACATTATTATAAATAAGTCAAACTATTCACATGTTAAGAACTTAAAATTTTCTTAAAAGTATCATGAACTAGTTGTCTATAACCGAAGGAAGTAACATTTACAAAAACTATTAAAAAGAGAAACGCTCTTTTACATAATTAAATTGCTTTTGTACTTACAATTATTTACTGCAAATTAAAATTCTTAATTATTTTAAAAAGGTATTCAGATATTTGAAAATATTTAGGAAAGAATTTTAATTTTTTACAACATAATTATTGAAAAATAATTGTTGTCTACAGTTTCAACTGCATTTATGGTTACTGTTTCGCTCTTAAGGGTCGTAGTGTGATGTTTTATAGCATGTACTATTCCTCAATAATAAAACATTAAATTATAAAAAAATATCGTGCTTTAAATGTAACTGCTATTGTTGATATGTTATATTTTCTTTCTTTATTTTTAGAAGAAAAGGAAAATCTTCTATTTGCAGGATAATAACAAAAAAAGCGGCCAAGTGCGAGTCGGACTCGCCCATGAAGGGTTCCGTAGCAGCAAGTAACATAATATAAAAGTTCTTGAACCTGCCCCCAGCGTGCTCCTCACCCGTTACCGATCAAACCACGCCCCGCGCGAATTATAATTATTATTTATTTAGGCACCTATTACTATATTATTAGAAAATAATGGTTCACGGTTTATGCATAAGGTTATGTTTATGAAATAAAATGTTGTTTTTTGTTATATTTGAGTAGATTGAATAAAAGGTAAATTGCGGTTTAAGATTTATGACGTAAAAAAAAACTACTTACTAGATCTCGTTCAAACCAATTTTCGATGGAAGTTTGCATGGTAATGTACATCATATATTTTTTTGGTTTTATCATTCTCTTACTTTAGAAGTTACAGGGGGTTTTTTTTACATTTTACCACTTCGGAAGTGTCTCTCGCGCAAACTATTCAGTTTAGATAAAAATTATGTTAGAAACCTGAATATCATTTTTGAAGGCCTATCCATAGATAACCCACACGTATGGTGGATTTTTTTTTTTAATTTATTGTTTATTGTTTCTGTTTTTGTGTGAAAATCTTAATGCGGTTCACAGAATACATCTACTTACCAAGTTTCAACAGTATAGTTCTTATACTTTCGGAAAAAAGTGGCTGTGACATACGGACGGACAGACAGACAGACATGACGAATCTATAAGCATTTGGCTACGGAACCCTAAAAAGCATTTAAGCGTTCGGCCTTCGAACGGTTTCCTGATTTCTGATCAGTATATTAAAACAACTCAAGGCATTGCATGTTGCCTAATATTTCAGTTGATAATTTGCTGTAATTATTTTAACAAGTGTGTGTTACTTCATGTAAACAGTCTCAAATTCAAAGCGTACTAATCCTTACATAATATTTTGTTAATTATTAGTTACTGCATATAAATATCTAATTAATTACATAATAAACAGTTACATAACATACATATCTAAGTTTGTTAAGTAGATTACACCTATGTATTTGAGCAATACCTACTTGGAATAGCCAAAAGGCGTGTTAAACTTGGTCAATCTCGAGGCTATTGTTTTAATATTACTTTAATAAGTGTGCAGGGTCATTTCTATGTCAGTATCAGGTTTCGCCATGATCCTGTTTGTAAAATAGATATCTCTACGCAATATTTAGTATTATCAAAGCGATTAACATTGCCCTGTTTATAAAACCGGCAGTAGCCTAAGCACAAAAAGAAAAATCGTTTTTTTTAAAGGATCAGGATAAAGTTTTTGATAAGCAGGTCTAATGCAAAAGATTATATACCTACATCTACTACAAATCCAATATACGGGATTACTGGTTAAGTCGACCTAAATACTAGGAGGCTGTGATGGTAAATCATTTCTGATAGATCTCACTATGAAATATCATATCCCAAACTTAACCATTTTTAAGATATTTGACTTTTAAGATTGTCATACCCATTACCGAAATTTTGTAACTTATATCCAAAAAAATTTTCTTTTTTGTAATGATTTATGTGTCGTAGTTACATTGTTGTATGATTACCATTACTAAAATTGTAGTTAGTTTAACAAAATGGGCCAAAGTAGATGGTTCATTATCAATTTACTTTTGACATACGAAGGTATTTTTGTCTGTCTGATAATAAAGACAATGTTACTTCATTGTACACGCCAAGTGTGTAGAAAATATTAAAAATAGGATTTGTGTCTAGATAAAATAATTAATCGTCCTATGTACATAGTTATTTTATTTTTTTATAGAAAGTATAACCAGTCAGTTATGGAATACAGCCACTGCGTGGGTATTTATTCCACTCTCTAAAAAAGAGAAGACGGGGAAAAGCTGGTAATATACCTATGTAGATTGTAAGTATGAAACATTCAAGGCAAGAAAAGTCGCCAGTGTCACGCAGCTGCTTTTCCGCTTTCTCAAGCATTGCTTAGGGAAAGTAATCAAGAACTTTATATGAGTATGATTATACGTAAGTAAAAATGTACGCGAGCCCGTTGTTACGTAGGACCATTGAACAAACATAAAACTAAAAATACCTTTTCCTTCCCCTCTTTTTGTTTGCCTTTATATTTTTAAAGTTTAGTTTAGTTTTTATTTATGGAAACTCGGTGGACCAACTAGCCATCAACATACGAGTATTATAGTTCTGAATTTATTAGACTAAGTTTTGCTGATAACGTAATTCGTTCAATGTCAAAATAAATTATAATGAACCGTGTCAATAAACTTTCTAAATTGGAAAGATTTACAAAACAGATTAATTTATAATCAAATTTATTTCTTAATACTTACAATACGAGTTCGTGTAATTATATATGTTGACGATTATTAATATATTAATCTTATTAGGAAATAATTTAGTGTTGTTGCGAGTCCTTTACAATACAGTGAGATGTGACGGAACACTGCGTGGTTTTAGTAGGGGCAACTCCGAAATACCAATTACACCGTAAGTGCCGGTTTGTTGCTGGTCCGCGGGGATTTCCAAATAATGTAAAAAACGTAGTCCGTGTGGTGACGAATTAAGAATACACCCCCCCTATTCATCCCGTGGATGTCGTAAGGGCCAACTAAGGGAACAAACTACGTAGGACAATAGCAGTTCAAAAAAAAAGGAAAACTTGACACAAACCCTAAAACAATCCGTCTGGCCTGTGTGGAATAGTAGGCCAAAACCTCCTTTCTAAGGAGAGGCCTATGTCCAGCAGTGGACTATTAAAGGCTGTTGATGTGATGATGTGTGATGTGACAGGCTCCGCCTAGTTTGGGTCAAACGGCCGTGTGTAAAAGTTTTTTTTTTTTTGCCGCAGTACTAAGATATTGATTAAAACACATATTATATAGAAATTATTATCACTCCTTTCTAATGAGAGGCCTATGTCCAGCAGTGGACTAGTATAGGCTGTTGATGATGATGATTGATTATCACTCATAAAAAGTCTAATTACTGGACATTATAATTATTCGAGAGGTTCAGCAGTGGACTATTAAAGGCTGTTGATGATGATTCGTATTAAAAGTCGATGACTCTAAATCCCATGCCTGTTTCTAAGATACTATTTATTGCAATAATTAATTATGAAACCTATGAATTTTTTTTATAACAGTAGAATATAATGACTTCTGCTAAGTATGTGAAACTATCCCTATTTCTTCCAAAACCGGACTTTAAGTTAAAAAGTACCATCTATCGAGTAATAGATATAATCTTTGGCAGTCAGCGACATCTAATGGTCAGTAGATAAACTTGCATTTAACTCCATCTGTTTATACAAAGAACAACTACGTCAGTAGTTAGTTTTCAACTTGTTACGTATATTGGCCAATAGATGGCACTAGTAGAACTTTCATCTATCAGATAATAGATGGTACTTTTAGGACTTTTATCTATCAGACACTAGATGACACACATGTGACCTAAATCTTCTGGCTAATACTCTTTATATTATCTAATAGTTGGCATAAGCTTTTTGAAAAGGTTACTTACCCTCCATGACATATACGATGCTACCGACGTCTCCTTCTTTGATAATAAGGCTACCGGCTGCATATTCAACTGGATACATACAATCCACAATCTCGCGGATCTGCGTCATTTCAAGATTCTTCATGAAGTCATTATCCAGGATCGCACTTTTTATTAGCTCCCGGGAACTGCAAATGAGAAAAATCAATAAATTATGTGTCGATACGTTCTGTTTAAAACGGAAATAAAATAAAGAAGTCTACCTATACTAGCCATATCTAATTTTGTTCATAGGTAATGTAATATATTGATATTTCGTTAAATTAAAATGTAAAATGAAAAAAAGGATGAAAAAATGTAAGCAATTGTCAGAGACGGAAGTATTATATAAATTACAGGACAACGAAAAGTTAATATGCACAAGTTAGAACATACTACATACTTAAAATGAGATAAATATTTAAGTTTTAAAGATTTCTTTAACGCTAAACGATATGACGACAGACGACAGGACAATAAACATTTCTAGGAACGAAATAAAAATAAATGTCACCAATATAAATAAACACAATATTGATAAACACTGTGCAGTACCTTACTTACAAAAATTGTTATAGCTAAGGAGTGAGATACCTCCAAGGGGTTCTCATGAGGACATGTGGAATGTCTCTAGATTATATATAGTCTCTATTATTATTTATAAATAATACTTTCTAATATGGTAATTATAGGCATTTGTATAAGGTTTAAATTAAAAACGCACCTAAGTACTTTAATTGAAATCAAATACGCTTATCGAGTTTCCAAGTGGCAAGCGATACTAAATGAATTTGACAATAAAAATAAGTTTATTCATATATACGTGATGGGTATAGAATATATTCTTGGCTCTTTCATATTTAAGTTTATTTGTGCCTTAATAATTTAAAAAAAATGCATCCAAAAAGTCCTAAGTTGTTGCATTTATGCGTAACACTATTTCACAATTATTACTGAATTTGGTCAACAAAACTCTTGCTCCTAAAAATAATTAATTCTTATACCTACATATATACGGAATGGTAATGTAAAGAAGTTTCTAATAGTTATACCTTTTTTGTGTAAGTACAAGGAAGTAGAATGTAATACAATATTTACAAGGATATATCAACATGCAACGTCGACCATAATGACAATAACCTCTAAATTATTACCGTAAATAAGCATCATAAAACGTAAGCCTTATGAAACTGCTAGCGGAGACAGTAAGGACGTGGATAATCATTCTTTATATGCTATTTAGAGGAAAGTAATACGGAATATATATTAATAATGAGTTAAGCAAATTGTACACTTAGATCGTCATTTAAACACCCAAAAAGTTTTTTTACATTTTATTTTCGATTCAAACAAGGTATTTTCATGATAAGCTAAAAATTCTTTAATAGAAATATTTCTTTTTTTAAAACATTGACAGCGCTTTTTTGTATATGACTAAGCAAACAAGCATAAAGGATTTTAAAATGAGGCACTTCGGCACTTCAAGGGGAAATCTTAGCAAAACCAAAAAAAATTGAAACGTCTGCAAGATATTCCTCTTACACTGATGATACAGATGCAAAGCTATAAATAATTCAGAAAACACCTGTAATATCAGTTTAATGTACTTGTAATCCTTTGCCTAATTCTTGTTTAGTTTTATAACTACAAAGAAGTCGCCCAGAGATGTATTACAGCAAATGATTTTTATGTATAAATAACTGTTACTTACTGTTTTTACTTACAGTATCGTTTTGGGATAAATCCTGTAAAGACACTGTAATTGTTTTTAATAAATAAATAACGTAAATATCCTCTTTATAGTCATGTCTCAATAACCAAGTATTTAAATAAGTAACAAGACTTATCTGATGAATGAACCTATTAGTAATTCTTAAGTACAGCTACTCAACACAGTTTTATTATAAATTATTGCTATAAATAATGTTCATTCCATTTTATGTTCCTGAGAACATACAAGGTACCAATATATCAAACAATTTATCCGCTATGATAGGTTAATGGTACTTGTACCAGATACCATTTATTTTAGACAATAAATAATATCTTAACCAAATGATTTACAAGATATACATAGCAACCATAGCAGCAAATATTGTGAACAATTATGACAGCTATAACCATAAATTAAGTAGAAATCTACCATCTGGTAGGGACATTATTTTCTTACTGGCCATCAACAAAGTATTGAAGATTTTTAACCTATTTTATCACAGTTCCACATCTGAAATCTAAGGCGGCAGTGATAACTTTAAGTCACAAAAGATCTTGCACGTCGTGACGGTGCCGTCGGCGAGGACAGTTGTCACATAAACTTTAAACGTTATTATACCAAATGGGATCAACGAAGGCACTCTAGCTAACACACGTCGACCTCGAGGCAATGCCTTTTAGATGCTTGTACTTAGAAGAAATTCAATCATAGCGCAGATTGATTTATTGATGATTTCTGAGTTGATTCATGACTAATACCAAGTACCAATACCAAGTAACTTTATAAAGAAAGTCTTAATCAGAAACATTTATTGCTTTAAGAAATCAGAAAGTGTTTTGCACCAAAGATAGGGATTAATTTAGAATTCTGATATGGTTTTATGCACCATAACCAACAGGAACTATTTTCCTTCTTTTACGACTCAAACTACAGTAAAATAATTGTTATTTTAGACATCATTTGATCTGCATAATGGCTTCTAAAGTTTACGACACCATTACACCATAAATCGGTATTTAATGTTTCATATAATGGTGACAATTTTGCGTTATTTCAGTTTGATCTTATCAAAATACTCGTAAACTAAAAATTTGGTGTATAGTAAAGTCGCAGTTCATTCCTAGAATAAAATAGACGATATGATCACAAGAAGAGTTAGAGATAATAATAATGATATAAGTAAGGCATACATAGTATTTTTTTAGGTCTAGACTAGTCTTAACTCGAAGCAAAAATATATATCTTCTTCTTCCTTTAATTCAGTGGCTCCATCGGATGTCGATGATTTTGCCAATGTCTAGGTGGGAGGTAGATTTATTAGTTAATAGGTTGAAAATATTTTGAATACCAAGAGGGAATTGTTGTGATTTCAATAGTTTCTGTTCGTGGTTCTGTGGGACAGTAGAGAAAAAAAGAAAGAAAAAGGACAGTAGAAAAAAATATAGCAGTAAAGGTATTAGGAAACTTTATAAGTTTATTTAATTTATACCAATAAAATGGTAAAGGAGCCTGACAAATGGGGTATATACTAGAGTTAAGAGATAAGCCAAATTAACGGGTCGGGATATTTGTTGAGGGAGTAGATCATACAGAGGTACGACCAATTAGGACAAGAAAAGAAAATATGTTCCAGAGTGCCTTCATCGAGACCACACTCAAATAGAGAGTGATCACGAACTCGAATTTTGGCAAGATAAACTGGGGTACTGACAAATCCTAATCGTAAACGAATTATAGTAGAGGTAGCTGACTTATTAACATGTTTTTGTTTGAAGAACCAGGATCTAGCAGGAATTAAGGGTTGTAGAGAGCCGTAAAATTTACCCTTGATCATTCTACTGCTTTGCCATGTGTTATTCCAGGACTCAGTCAATGAAAGTTTGGCTAGGGAGCGCAGATCTCGGGCGAAGCAGAATTTGTGGCTAGCGCATCCAGTCTGAGCTGCTATTTTGGCGCAGAAGTCCGCAGCTTCATTGCCTGCTATACCTGAATGACTGGGGATCCATGCTAGAACTACTTCAATACCAGACAATAGGCATCTGTGAAGAACCTCTTTAATTTTAAGAATTATAGGGAAATTATTGCGAGCTTTGAAAGGATTTTTTAAAAGATCTTGTAGGCAGCTCAAGGAGTCTGATAAAATAAGGGACTTATCAAGCTTATGAGATTCCACATAGGAGACCGCTTCTAATAAGGCAATAGATTCTCCTGAAAAGATAGAGTTGTAGGAAGAGCATTTATAACTTAGTATAATTTTAAATTTGGGAATCCAAACTGCAGAACCAACAAAGCCATCTGAAGAAAGTTTTGATGCATCTGTATAAAGCGTAACCCAATCAGACCAATCCTCCGCAATGATGTGGATAAAGTTTTGGTTGGCTGCCGGAGAATGTTTATTGATGCCAAAGTCAAGGATGATTTTTGGTAGGAAGGTTAACGCATTATAGTCGAGCTCAAAAAGAGGATTTAAAGAAGATTGAAAGATAGGATCAGATAGATTTTTCATTTTAATAAAGGAATTAAGGAGCAAAGGGAGGGACTTGTGTCTCCAGTACAATGAGATAGTGGCCAGACTAGAACTAGACTAGACTAGAAGACTAGAAAGTTGGAATTAATTTGGACTGCATTAAAGAAGTATCTGTCAGCTAAAAATTGGCGGCGAAGATGAAGGGGAGGTTCCAAGCATTCGACTTGGAGGGCATTCACTGGAGAGCATTTCATAGCACCAGTTATGATTCGAAGGCACTTAGACTGGATCAGCTGAAGCTTAGACAGAGCAAGTCTATTACATGGTTCCAGAAGGAAAGAACCATAATCAAAGTGACACCGAACTATGGCATTGTATAAAAGTTTTTGGCAAAAGGGGTGAGAGCCCCAGCGGAGCCCAGATAAGGCCCGCATAACGTTCACACCCCCCTCGCTCTTTTTAATAACATGGTTTAGATGGTGAATACCAGATAATTTAGAATCAAGAATGAGGCCTAAAAACTTTATGGAATCTTTTATTGGAATTAGTTCGCCTGCAACAGAAAGGTTGATATCAGGGATATTACGTTTGCGAGAGAAAACAAGAGCACTACATTTAGAAACAGACAGAGAAAGATTGTGGTCCAATAGCCAAACGTTTAAATAATACAGAGCGGAATTCAAACGGGAAGTGGCAGTAGAGAAGGAGGATGACGAAAAATATATGGCAACATCATCAACATATTGAAGAACTTTACAAAAAGGACTGACAGACTGGTCTAGGTCGAAAGTATAAATATTATAAAGAATGGGACTAAGCACTGAACCCTGCGGAAGGCCCTTCCATACAAGACGAGGAGGGAGAAAAGAACCTTGATGACGAATAGAGATAGTACGACACATGAGCATATTGCAGATGACGTGAACCATCCTCGCTGGAATACTCAGATGTAGCATAAAAAAATATATATAAATTATACAAAAAACACATTAAAATGAATAAACGTCAACGCTTGGTTTGCTTCGCTTTATTTTTTTCGCTATCAGTTTTAGTGAAGGTAAAACATATTCAATAATGTGTAGACTTCCAGACATTGCTGCTGTATCAATTGTGACAATCACCAACAAGTTTCGATTGCAGGTGGATTGAGCCGCTTTAGGTCGAAATACTAGATCCATTTTAAAAGCGATAGAACGAATCTTCTTCTGATTAGAAGCTCTTGTTCTCGCCACTAAGTTGGCCTTGGGTACCATATCGCGATGAGTAACAATATTTATTATTGTTATATACAGCTGCATGTTGAATAAATCAACATATAACCGATAGAAGCTAAACTTCACTGAGAATGAAATCGCAATACGATCGTCATAAAAGCATTTTTCCTTTTTAACACAATCAATCGCTTTCACAAGAGCGCTATATTTAAGTTATTATTGGCCTGCGATAAGGGTGTTTTATTTCGAACTGTACCGAAGGTCATAAATACAATAAAGAATAAAATCAAATTCAATGCTGATGAATGCAAATCTTTGTGCGAGATAAAAGCGCACAAAATAAATGAATCATCTCTCATATTAAAAATATTTGTTTACATTTCACTTGTGTGAAAGTAAACTTTAACAGCAGCCACTAGACTAAAATAATGTTTCACTAATACCAAACTTTATTCAATTATTTAAAAAAACCTTTTGAGTCTGCCAGGTTTGTCTAATCGATATTCTTTTTTTGATTGATTTATTAACAGATTTGTGGCAAATTATATCTTATGTTTTCTTGCTCTATACGAGTATCACCGGTTCTAAGTAAGGTACGGGGTTGTTTTTGGACTACGAACATTCAGTGTAACGAGCTTTTTTATTTAGTCTTTTGCGCATTAACATATCGTTGAATTTTAGTGACGTTACGTGTAAAACTTAAACGCAGAGCAGCTCTTTTTGGTTAATCAAATTGTAATGAACATATTAGATGTATAAATACTACCTAAACGTTCGGAATACAACCAAAAATAAGTTGTGAATCATTATACTTATCATAAATATTAGATATTGAACATTTATTAATATTTATTACATTAACATAGTCTATGTGTATGAAATGATAAGTATCTTATACCTTAGCCAACAGTGTGTAAATATATACATTTTATTATACTTACTAATGACTTTTTGGTATTTTCACAAGTTTCATTTCATAATCTTGAGTCAATGAAGATAAGGGCTCCGCTGATATAGCTGTTCTTTTCAGTCTAGGTTCACCAATGTGATACACTCTGGTATTTTCAATTCCTGGTATCTTCGGCACGAAACACTCTTCTTCCTCTAAACCATTTCTACGGCTGTCTATTATTTGTCGAGTCAAAGGTTTAACGACTTGCCGAAACTTATCTATTTCATTTTTGAGGTACCTTATCGTAGCATCTTTTTCATCAATCTCATTTTCTAAAAATGTTATTATCTTATCTCTGCGTTTCAATTCTTCTGTTTTTTCTAACACCAATCTTTTCATTTCTAAATACTTTTTCTCCAATTTGTAATTGTTGTCCATTTGACATTGCTTCGTGTGTGTTCGCTCCATTTTGTTCACTGTTTATTTTACTGTTACCGAATTATTCAGAGTATATTAAAATAATCCACATGACACTTTTGTAACGCTCTATAGTACGTAGCTTTAATTTTAACACTACAGTGCAATAAATGATAACAGCTATTGAAGTTTATCAATAAATTTATAATAAAAAGATTAACCGCTTACACAGTCATACTTTTTAAATATTAATAAACATTTTCGTTCCATAAAATGTAGTAATATAAGTATCCTACCACACGATATCTCTGCCAGCCAGTGTCCTGAGTCATTAAGCCATTACAACTACTATTTCAATGACATATTGTGTCAATCACTACTGAATAAAATATGGTGACGACTGATTGTCCGAGTTCTTTGCAAGCCAGTCTGACAGTGAGCCAGCCACTCAATAACTTGTGCCTCGTATAGTGTAATATGTGTATACTATGATTTAAGCGCTGCTCGACGTTGCTAAACTTTAATTGGTTTTTATTAATTATGATTAATGTTGCAGATAATCATGATTAAGGGAGCAAAGTTAAAGTGTAAAAGTCAAATTTATACCAATAAGAAACTTGGCCTGAAGCAAGGCCAAGGTGGTAAAGTTTCGTTAAATTTATAGTCTCCTTGCAAATTTTGTTTATCATATATACAAGAGAAACAAGTTAAATTTAATTGACTCAAATTTACATATCTTTCATTAAATAAATTTGTTATTGAGTATTTTTAGAAAATTTCGCCTACATCACATTTAAGACCAAGGCCTTCTCTTTAATTAGTTCATTAATTATATTAATACGTTATATTACAAACACATTAGATATCAAACTAAGATTAAATATTCATAGCACGCATTATGTCACTGCTAATTTCTTAATTTGCCGTATATAGTCAGCGTATTGGTTATTTATTCTCGCTCATTCAAATTTGCGAATGATCACAACAGGTTCCTATAACAAAGACTGACAAAATACATGTTTAAGTATGCATTCATTCATGGTAGTAATATTAATGCTAACGCTACTCATACAATCATTGTACTTGTCAGCTTATTAACACTTGAATGTAACACAACGTTAAGCAAGAAATTAATCAGGTACTCAACTAATAATTTAAGAGTCACTATGCGTAGGTGATATATTATATTTTGTAAAGGTCGTTCAACTAATCAGGCCTTTCTAAGTACAGATAAGGTCAATGCAACACCAATGGTACATTCAACACCAAGTATTTGGACCATGACATCGATGTAAACATAATATGAACATGAATACTCAGTGGCGGATTATCTCTAAGACAAAGTAGGCACGTGCCTAGGGGCGCGAGATTACAAAGGGGCGGGCGCACCGAATTTTTTAACACATAAAAAATACTACCGATTGACTCAGATACTCACCGGGCACGGTTGCTTCGGTGGGTATCTTAATTGAATCGGGCGGCAGGTCACGGCACAATATCTGCGGGTCCGACCAGGACTGCACCCAGCACACGCTGGAGGACTGCCTTGCATGGGAGTTTGGTTGGACATAGTGGCCAAAACTTGTCCTCGCCAGCATTGATCGCGGCAATGCTGGCAATTAGCGAGTGGCGAGGGATGAGCAGCCGCGGTCTTCTTATGCGAGGACATTATGTTCCGTGTGACATTGAACACTCGGAGAGGTATTAAGACTCGTAATGGCTCGGGATCCTGGGACTCGAAAAATTAAGGACCAGAAATTTCAACTCTGCTGGGTCCTCGTGGAGGAGTGGAATAAAGGAAAGACTTGGGTAACCAAGCGCCGTTCACGCCATTATATGGTACGTTACGCGGTACTGTCCGCCATGAAAGATTGCCTCACACGGGACCCTCCTATGCCGGGTGACGCAGGAGATCCCTTGGGTCTGATACGTAAGGATCCAACGCCTAGTTGCCACCATTGCAGTGGCTAGAGTGCGGACATGGCGCTCCACACGCTGCTAGAATACCCGTAGCAGAGGAGGAGCAGAGGCATGGCCTCGTGACGGCAGTCGGAGTCGGGATTCTGTAGCTCGGTTGCATAATTGCGGCTTTGGTACGGAGCGCGTGGAACTCCGCCACCGCCTGCGAGCAAGTTATGGTCGAGAAGAAGAGGTCGAAGCGAGGCCTGAAGAGGCTTAGAACTCGCCCAGGCCCCATGACCTCCGATCTGCATAAGTGGCAGCTGAGGCCGTCTGTTACAAAAAAGCTGTTTTCAAATCCCTCCTATTTCAGGCGCAGTTTGCACATCATATGGTTTTAGTCGGTTCGATGCCGATACGCCACCACAAACCTCGGTGGGGTGACAGGCCATGGGGGTTCCACGCGTAAATAAAAAAAAAAAAGAGTTGCAGTAAAGAAATTCCAACTAGGAGTTATCACTATCACATATTTAATAACATCAATTAGTAGCTATTGATAATATAGTATGGGCCATAGAGAGATGCTCGCTCGCCTTGAGATTATTATTACACATACCAAAAACTAATCGTTTTTGGAACGAAGTTCCCTATCACATTTCCAACACTTCAATTGGCACGGTGTGACGCTCACATCTTTTTCATATTTTATGTATATAGCAAACGTCAACCAAAAAGAGAAAGGAACTTTGTTACCACCGGGGGTCCATAGACCCCTCACGGCGTTTTTAACACTCGTCATATGAAATTAAGGACATCCTAATCCTGACTAATGTTATAGATCTTCTATATCTTAACTCCTACTTCCTCCTAGTCTATACTCTTTTTCGGTTCTAGTTTTATACAGAATATTGTTCCAGAAGGATGTTGAATTGATGGACAACTGTCGTCACTTCACTTTGGCAATTCTCCTGAAGCGCCAGCGAATCTACCCACCTGTAGAAACACAACAAGCTATTTCTGCCGACTCTCTAAAATATTGCTGAAACCATAAAATAATTAACAGGTATGACTGCGCGTTTAAATTCTTGGCAACTGACAAATCAAACAGACGTTGAAAATACTCTGAGGAAGTCTATTTGTCTACTTTTATCGATTGATAAGCTATCGACACTGAATAAGGATTTTGTACATACTTTTTTTATCAGTGTAACAATGTTATTTTAGTGCTATTACAAATGTAGACCTAGACCCATTTTCGCTGAATTGGATGAAAGCCCAGTGCGTTTTGCCTCATTACAAATTATGTCAATTAATATTTTTACTAAAGCTCTTCATAAATTGGTCTTTTCATTTATTACTATCATTGAATGATCATGAATGAAACCTAGAATATATTTAGACTGATTCAATAAGATTGTAAAAGATATTGAAAATTTCATTTGAGTTTTCTCTACAAAATAAGTATTGACCTCACACATGAGAATAGATAAGTAGTATAAATATTTAGTTTTACAAAATTTATCTTAAATTAATAACTTATCTTTTAATAATAGAATTATCTTTGCCAAAATAGGTGTTTAAGAGGGCTCCTGTAATGGGTTGTATACCTTTATAATTTTATGATTTTTATTTCTATTTTTGCAATAAAAATTTAACTATGAGTATTTGAGAGGGTATGTAGGTGGGCTGTCGGGTCCGCTGCTATACGTAAATAAGAATATTATATTAGCTATCAAATATGTAAAAACTCGAATCAATATATTTAAAAATGCCAAGTATGTATAATTGTAATAATAAATCATCTAGTAGAATGACTTCTTACCATCTATGAATGCTAATAATAGTTAAAAAATGTATCGGACGAAACTAGGTAACTGAAAAGCAGATGTAAAATAAGAACAGACTTTCTTCAGCCAATAACACTTGTGAAAATTTATTTCGTATGGTTACTATATCACCGACAACCAAAAATATATGTGACCGACACCCTTAGAGCCGAAATAGTTATTTAATTTTATCTAAGGCCAGGTTAATCTACATTGAGGCTGACGTCACAGATGTTACACTTAAGCCCGTTTAGCAAAAGTTGACAAAATACAGGCTAATGCTATTTACAGTGGTTGACGTTATCGCGACAGAATCCAAACTACCGAACCATTAGATTAAATGTATGTACCCTCATGGCGTAATTGCACTATATTTATAACATTATTCCATAGGAAGAGTGATCTCCTTTTATATATCATTAATGACCAAAAGATTCCCTAAGATGATAGAAACGTTAACGTCTTATCATTATAGGAAAGTTTCAGCAAACTATTCTAAATTTAGAGATGTTTTCAACGTTAACATTAAATCGATTGACCGGCTTTTATGTACGAAAATAAATCAATGATGATAAACGATGATCATTTATTTGGACAGTAAAATATTTCCACTTATATTTTACGTCTAAATCATAACGCACTATGGAAATGAAACTAACATTTTCAAAGGAAATATTACTCGCTTATTGCTTCCTATATTCGGTTCATCAAATAAATATTTGAATAAACGATCTGGGCTTAGAATCTGTTTCTGAAATTATCTAAGGTCAAATATCAAGTGCATTAGACACCCGAGGACTTATGAAAAAAAAATCTGTTCTTCATTGAGGAGCCTAATTAAAAGAATTCAAAGAAGCAATTTGCGAAACCTTGACATACATTCAAGTATCTGTATAGATCATTAAAAGTGACCACGGTTCTCAGGTCGATGTCAGCACGGTGAAAAAATAGAGTACGACACTATGAGCTATTTTGGTACTCCAGATACAGAGATTGTGGGGTCGACAGACAATGTCAGCATTTGTTGAAAGATGATTGTATATCATATAACTTCCAAATTTTGACAGGCAGCAAATTTAAAAATAAAAGTTTAAACAAATTGATTTTAACAAAAAAAAACATGGCTTATAATAACGTTCATCTGAAGAATAGGGATTCAAAGAACAATGCACTATTTTCTAGTATATTTTGTAAGTGAGGCATAGATGTTATGATTACATTTTCAGATAGGATGTTCTCTGTCTGCAAAAACTAACTAACTAACTGTGAATAGAAAGAAAAAAAATGCTGCGTAAAACTTAATTTTAGGGAATTATTTTCTTGAGT